AGCTCATTATTATTATTATTATTATTATTATTATTATTATTATTATTATTATTATTATTATTATTATTATTATTATTATTATTATTATTATTATTATTATTATTATTATTCCATTCTCTGAATAAACCCTGGCCCCTTCTCATGCAGAAGCATCCTCCGGGCTCCTTGTTTCTCTCGGCCGTGCACTCAGTGTGCTCTCCACAGTCCTCGCCACAGAGCGCACAGGATGTCACCCAGCTTCGATCTGCCACCCACACACAAAGCTCATGTAATCGTTGTGGGCAAACACTTCTCAACAGAGCCAGAAATGAGGTGAGGGAACAAATAATGGAACTGGAGTAGGAAATCAGGTCAGGAAGCTGCTTTATCTTACGTCAGCCCTCTTTCTTCAAACTCAGTGTCATCTGAAATAGATGCCACAAAGCTCCTCTGGGGTTTCAGGTGAGGGGGTCTTTGTCAACCCCACCTGGAGACCTGGAGCGTTGACCCTGGGAATTTTCCGCCTGAGGCCCTTGCCCTCAAGTCTGTTTAGACATGGAGCCATGAGCAGCAACCTGTTGCATTCAGAATGATGTGTGAGGCTGGAGACTCCAGTTCCATGTCAGGCAACGGATCCCTTCTGGGTTTGAGTCCAAAGTTTAAAAGACCTTTCTGAGGTGCTCAGACCATGTTGCCTGGGTTTCACGTGCCTGCATGGTTTTGAATTGCGCAATGCTCTGCTACAAATATTGTTATACATAGTAATAATAGTTAATAGTAAATCAAATAAATAAATAGTTCCGAGTTCAAATCCCAGCATCTGAAGTTAGTGGGTTAAGCGTCTGGCTGTGAAGCCAGAGGTTGGGAATTCGGTTCCTCCCCTTTGAAGTCCTTGAGGGAGGCTCAGCCTGGTGATCTCTAGTGTTGTGGTTCCGGTTGGAGTTCGATTCCCCCCCATCCCCGGGCCTCCTTGATAAGAGCTGGGCATGATGGTCTACAGTTATAAAGAAGAACATATCTTGAAAGCCCAATTCTTAGGGCTGCTATAAGTCAGTTCCAAGGTGATGGGATATAACAGAAAAATTTGGGAAGGAAGGAAAGAAGGAGGGGGAGACAGAGAGAAGGAAGGAAGGAAGGAAGGAAGGAAGGAAGGATCTGATGAATGATAGAAGGAAGGAAGGAGCTGATGATGGGTGGAAGAAAGGAAGGAAGAAGGGGAGACAGAGAGAAGGAAGGAAAGAAAGACAGGGAGACACTAGGAAGGAAGGAAGGAGGGAAGGAGCTGATGAAGGAAGGAAGGAAGGTAATCTATAGCACTGGATTGTTCTCAGGGTTATTCTGAGGGTCACTGTTTTCCCAGGAATATTGTCTTTAAGCAGGGGAACCTGCCTGGGAAAAGGTCTTGCTGAAAAGTGCTCAAGAAAGCTATTACAGTGTACAGTATACAGTAATGGGTATACTGTACGCTTGTCAGTGGCTCCCCACCTGTCAGTCAGTCACCCTGGTGTTCTTGGACTCCAGTTCCCAGAAGCCATCACCACCCAGCTCTTCCAGGTGGGGTTTCTGGGAGTTGTAGTCCAAGAACACGAAGGTGACCCAAGGTGGGGAACCCTGGTCTGTGTGATAAAGGGAAGAAAACCACTGGGACGAAAACAGTAAATGACTCCTCCTGGACTTTGTTCCCGGCCATCCCCTCTCCCAGAGCCACATTGTCCAGAAACATGAGGACTAGGACCCTGTTTTTGCTTTCAAACCAGACCTTTGGGATTGCCATTTGCAGTTCAAAGGTCAGTGGCAAAAAGCAGGGCTTGGCTGGACCAGATCAGTCTCATCCTTAATGGCCATGAAGTCGCCCAAATAGAAAAATACAGCTTCAACTCAAAGACTCATAGGACTCTGGAGTTGAAAAGGTTCCCGGGAGGTGGAAGAGATTCAGAAGATTGTCTATACCCCACTCTGAGCAGATGCAGGAAACCCACCAATACAGCATCCCCTGAACAGGTGGCGGTCCATCCATTTTGAGAAGCTTCAAGGAGGCTTCGGAGCTACTCCGCCAAACACCCCTTCGTTACATGTGTGTTATATTTAACCCCTGCCGTTTTTCACACCAGAAGTTACTCCTTCCCACCCACCCCACCCAAAAGCAAAAGGGGAAAAACACACATACAGCGGTGGCTAGACATAACAAAATGTATATTTACTGAACACAGTTCTTTTTAAAAATAAATACAAATAGCAGTCATCTTGCTGGTCCGGGGCAGAATAATTGTGAAAGTAGCAGCAGACGGGGGGGTGGTGGAGGTTAAATTGCCCACTCCCCTGCTGAGATCCTGATTAATATTAGTCTACATTGCTTTGTAATTTTGGAGGAAAGAACGTTGGCCGCCAGAATAGCCCACAGCACCTAAAGTAAGAAATCATTTCCCTTTAGCGAAGGGGATGGAATTCACCCCCTTCTCATCCTCGAGGGCTGCTCTGAAGAATGGGAGGTCGAGAAATCAGATCACAAATATCTTCCACACCCACACCCCAAACCTATGGGTTTGGGCACACCATTAAATTTCTTGCATAGGATTCTCAGCATCTGTAAATAAGATTGTGTGGGCCATTTCCTGAGCCCTGGTTCTAGGGTCCCTTCAGAGTCCGACGTGGCTGTTTGGCTCCAGGTTTTGGGGTCAGCATGCCAGATTTGGACATGGGAGGGTGGAAAGTCCAGGGGCTTGCCCAACCATGGAACTGGCCCATGGATTAATCTCTCTCTCTCTCTCTCTGTCTCTGTCTCTCTCAGGAAGAGGGTTTTTGTGAAGATCAATTAGGGAGAAGAGCCACTGGCACTGGCGAAACCAGCGTTGGGTGTTGGTTGATTTTCCCAGTGCCCCCCCCCACAAGAGCAATGGGATTTTGGATCAGGAAAACAGCATAAAGAGCGGGCTCTTTAAAAAAATGATGCCCCCAACATCACTTTCCCATGTGAGCATCATTCTCAGAGTCGAAGCATCCCTCTTTAGCTTGGCAAGGCTCCCGATGAGGTGGGCTACTCCTCCCCCACCTTTGGTCAGCATGCTGGTGTGGATGATGGGTGCCGGAGTCCACCACATCACTGAGAGCAGTGCCTCAAGAGACGGGCTGAGCGGTCCTTCCTATGCCAAGTCCCCCTGATTTCAGTGGGTCGGCTCGAGCCACAATGAGTTGTGGGTGGGGGGGTCTGTCCGTTCCAAATACCACTCTGTCTGTCTGTCTCTTTGTTCATCCCCACCTCCATTACGCTCCCCCCCTCCGGCCTGGGCAGCCCGAGATTCTGATGGGGGAGCCCCGAAGACCAGGCGCCAGCCCACCTCTCCCTGGCGACCCCACTACAAAGCATGCCAACGCGGTTAACAGACTGGAAGGCTGGACCACACTTTATGTATAAATAAACATCTCCATTTGTACACAACAGTAAAATTCTTAAAAAACACAGTTCATGATGACTCTTCGCTCCCTCTTTCAAAGCAGTTCGAAGGACACTGGGATCCCTCTCCCGGGCCTGCTGCAAAGCATAAAGCAGGCTGGCTTTTTTCTCTCCCTGCGGAGGTGGTAAAATCTGTCCCAGGAGGGGGGCTCCGGAGGGAGGTGCCACTCAAGAGACTTAGGGTCTCTGGCACATGGCTGATGCTGGATCTGATCAGGAAGCCTCCAGAGTCGACAGGAGGGAAAATGCCAGAGCCAGCCCGTTATTTTGGCCAAAGAGAAAGCCCGGTCCGGTCCATAAGACATGGGCCAGGCTGGAGGGAGCAGGGAAAGTCATATCAATCCATCGCTAAGGCATCTCCGTTTTGCTCTCTGTGTGCGCGCAATCGGTCGGGGGCTGGGTGGCGCAGGCGACCGAAGCAGGGAGAAAACGGAATGTTCTCAACGCCCACACCTTTCCGCGAATCTCTCACCAGGCAGCCTGAAAAACCACCCGGCGGTCCTCTAGCAAGGCAAACAGGATGGCTCCTTGTGATCCGCCTGCCAGCGGGAAAGCGTGTCCGCCTGGGGCAGAGGCCCCCTCAACGTGCAGAAGCGGAGCTCCCGAACCAAGCTCAGCACCTCTGGCCTCTCCCGGCTTTGGCCCGGTTTGCAAACCGGACAGGCGGTGGCCTCGTGGCAGCCCAGGGTGGCCCGACCAACCAGGGGGGCCTCGGGGGCCCTGAAGGAGAGGCAGGCGGCCACAGCGCCACCCACCGGGGAGGTGGTGCTCAAGGGGCCGGGGGCACAGACCACCACCGTGGCACTCTCCAGGCCACCAAGGGAGAAGCGAGTGGGCATAGTGCCGGCCACTGTGCTAAGGCTGCTGTGGGAACAGAAGACCCCCGTGGCCCGGGTGCAGTCGGCTTTGGGCGCGGAGCGAGTAGCCGTGGCAGTGGCAGGGTGGCTGGCTCCCTCCCTCTTGGTTTTCTCTTCCTCCTCCTCTTCCTCCTCTTCTTCCTCCTCCTCCTGGATGGCGCTCAGCCGGGGGGCGCTGCGGTTTCTGTCCGGCGGGGGCCGGTAGGGGCACTTGCAGTTCAGCAGCCTCCGGAGGGGCACCAGAGGGATGATGGCCTCCCCCAAGAGCTGGCGCTGGAGGTGCCGGGCATCGTCCTGCTTCTTGAGGCGCTTGAACTCGTCGAAGGCCGAGCGGGAGGTCTGGCGGAGAAGGCAGGCCACGGCGTGGGCCTTCTCGGCCCTGGAGAGCAAGACGGCGTGGCAGCGGAGAACCACCGCCTTGTTCTTGACCTGGTGGCGGTAGACCCAGGCGAAGACCTTGGGCCGGCGCGGGTCGGCCCCGCAGGCAGTGATGCGGTGCAGCAGGTAGGCGTGGGCGGGCCGGCGGCTGCCTTTCTCCGCCGGGCTCATCCGGAGGCCGTGGGGCCCCAGGGCCAGCTTCATCTTGGTGCCGCGGCCCCCAAAGCCGCTCTTGGCCCAGATCTTCTCCACGGCCTCGTCGGTGCAACCCTCGCCCCTCGCCTGCAGGGTGACGGCGTTGCCCAGGTACCAGGCGGTGTAGACGGGGTCCTCCTTGTTCAGCTCCACCGTCTGGCGCTTGCTGCGGAAGAGGCCGGCCAGGCGCTCCAGCGGGCACTCGGGCCACAGGTCCGGGCAGGCCCGGAGCAGGTTGGCCAGCAGGGCGCAGTAGCTCAGGCCGGGCCCCAGGCTCTTGCCCTTAGCCGGTGCCCCCTCGCCTTCGGCCACCAGGACGAACTTGCTCCGGCGCCAGGGGAGCATGGCCGCCATGGTGCCAGGCGTGGGCAGTTGTCGCCAAGCAACCTATGGGGCGGGGGCTCCTCTCACGGGGGGAGGCTGCCAGCCCCAGGCAGACCCTCTGGGTGGGTGGGTGGCCAGCCGCTCTCTTCCTCCCTCGGGTCCTTCCTGCCAAGCCTCCTCCGCGCCTCCCTGCGATTCCCACGCAGGGGTGGGCAGGCTCGCGTGGATAGTGGGGGGGGGGCTCTCCC